TGACAGGACAAGGGGTAATGGCTTTAAACGGAAGCAGGGCAGGTTTAGACTGGATATAAGGAGGAAATTCTTTACAATGAGAGTGGTGAAACGCTGGAACGGGTTGCCCAGAGAGGTGGTGGAGGCCCCATCCCTGGAAACATTCAAGGCCAGGTTGGACGGGGCTCTGAGCAACCTGATCCAGTCAGCAGTGTCCCTGCTCACTGCGGGGGGGTTGGACTAGATGGCCTCTAGGGGTCCCTTCCAGCCCAAAACATTATATGATTCTGTGACTCTTGTCCCTGAGCCCAAAGGCTGGTCATCTGGCCGATGCCTACCCCTGAGGTAAGGGTAATGCCCCTTCTCCCGGCCCTCCAGGGGTGGCACGTCCAGCTGCCACCGAGACATGGGAGACGTGGGCCGAAACAATACGCGATGGTTCAGATAGAGCACCGGAATGGGATTTGTTTTGAAATGCAAGCTTTGACCCTTGTACTCTGGTGGCGCAGGGATGAAAAATCGGCCATAAAATTCCACATGACTTGTCAGACGACGCCACCCTTGCGCAGAGAGCCTGTTCATCCTTGAATAGACATTTCTGTGATAAGACTGTCCTTCCAGGCAGTCACTACTAACCTTGTCCACCTAAGAGAGAAAAACATGAATCTGAAGCTGATTTCCTGAGTTTTCTGTGTTGAAGGTGCAAGAATGGACTGCTAAGGGTGCCTGTCACAGAGCTGCTGGGACTGGACCTTCGGTTACTCTAGGATAGTTGAGATTTCTGCTGCCTTTCTTAATTTATAAGTGAAGCTACACATGCTAGTACATAGGACAGAAGTACCTACACAGAGTTAGCATAAATACCTTGCCCCCACAACTGTACTTAGTTATTTCCTGCAGTTAGGGATGCCTCTGAAAAGACACCTTTTTCTTTAGCATCTTGAAAAGCAAGACTTCCAAATGGTGATTTCTGCTGGGACAAGAAAAAAGTCAGAGAAGTTTGATTTTTGTAGTATTTGTCTTTGCTTAGAGCTTTGTCTCTGCTTAGAGGAGTCCAATAACAAGTCCCACTAGCAATAAGAAATGTTATTCACACTGAAAGGGAGGTGAAAAAAGCTGAATATGATACATCTTTTTAATTCTAAATATTTCGAGGAGGAGGAGGTGTGTGGTTCAGGAGGCTTCTTCGATAGTATTACAAAATATTTATAAATCAATTGGGCATTTTTAATGCAAAAAAAATCATCTATTCACTTTTAAAAATATGGGAGGGAGATCTGGAAAATAGGACGTTTCAGTCCATTACCCTCTCTGCGACTCATATTTCATACCTTTGTACTGATGATTCAGTCCTCCAATCCACTTCTTTATCAAAGTAGCGTTTCCAAAGTCTTAACAAGAAGAAACTTCATGATCCTTAAAGCCCACATATCACAAAGAATACCAAAGTTCACTACGTTATTAAGATCAATATATTCCACGTGTAGATAAGAGCTGAACTATTGTTCCTGTAACAATTAAGCATATAACCTGAAAAATAAAATTTTGCTTTGTTCCATTTTTGAAATTAGGATTCCCTGGATGAAAAAAAAAAGCCATAAAATTTGTAATTTTAAGGGGGTTATTATGCTTCACAAAGAATACCAAAGTTCACTACGTTATTAAGATCAATATATTCCACGTGTAGATAAGAGCTGAACTATTGTTCCTGTAACAATTAAGCATATAACCTGAAAAATAAAATTTTGCTTTGTTCCATTTTTGAAATTAGGATTCCCTGGATGAAAAAAAAAAGCCATAAAATTTGTAATTTTATGGGGGTTATTATGCAGAAAATTATTTATGTTAGGTGAGACATGCTCGGTGTTGGCTATAACAGCATTTTATTAAATCTGAAATACTTAGATACAGGATGTTTAATTTAATTAGTAAAAAGTCAACACTTTTCCAGTTCAGTACTTCAGATTCTTCTTGGATTTTTTGCTTGTAATATGGAAACAATGTATTTATTAGTTTTTAAAAAGAGCTGTGTTCAAAATTAAATGGGGTGTGCTTTAGAGAATATTTTTATTTGTGGGGAAAAAAACATCAAAGGCTAGAAGCTATTGACACTTATCTAAGGAGCCATCCTCACAGTGTCTAGATATGTTTTACAACGCAGTCAAAAATCATACTTCCTAAACCACGCTATAATTTCTAAAATACTCTTTCTTCAATGAAATTGAAGGCATTGACAAAGGCAGGTGTTACTCATTTGATTTACAAATCAAAAATGAATGCCCATAGGAACATAAACTTCCTGTCCAAAAAAAAAAAATTAGTATGAATTACCTGTTATAGATAACTATTAATGACCTTCTCTGCCTTTTTGCGAGCAGTGGTGATGAACTTCAGCCTTGTATCTGATGTGACTGCTCTTTTTGGAGGCTTATCAATGCCAGAGAACACTTACTTTCTGCCTCAGAGAGAGACCACAGATTTCTAAAACATGGAGAACTTCTCACAACCACTGAAACACTTCTACGAACACATTCAAAAGGTCTCATGTACGATGTCCGGTGTACTCAGAGGTGCTATCCCTAAGTGTTCAGCCATCGCATTTGATCACACCCTTGACCTTATTTGGAGCAGCTCGGAAATTTTCGAAGCGCAGCACATTCGTTTTCAGAAAAAAA